AAATGGCGGCAGGTAACTTCAGTATTTTCGGTCTATCAGCAATCCAGTGAATAATTAGAGAAGTCCTAGTCCTTGGATGGTCCTTGGCTGGTCCTTGGCTAGTCCTTGGCTGGACCTTGGCTGGTCTTTGGCTAGTCCTTGGCTGGACCAGTTGAGAGGAAAAACTCCCTTTTAATAGAAAGAAACCTCCAGCAGAACCAGGCTCAGTGTGAGCGGTCATCTGCTGAGGCCCACTGGGGTTCAAGGAGACAGAAGCAGAGACACAAAAAGCAGCTGGAAAAGGCGTCCCATCCAGGAAACACACAGCCAGGCAGACGAGCTCCGAGGATGAAGAGAGAACATCCAGTTAGTCACAGTCAGAGAAACAGGACTTCACTGGAAAACAGGCCGATCTCCAACATCTAGAAACAAAGGTGTTGATGGCAGCAGCACAGCTGATATTTCTCTCCAGGATGGAGTCACAACCAAACAGGAACAGACCAGATGAAGCTACTATGAGAAAAAGCAGAGAGATGAAGCAGAATGCTGAAATAAGTCATGGAAACAGTGCAGTCAAGAGAATCTTTGTTTGGAATAAATAAATACAGTTGGAAAGAAGAAAATTAAAGTTGTTAATGTAGGTTAGTGTTTCTGATTGATTTTAGGCCTCATTAAAGGCCTTGAAGGCTGTGAAGTTAGGAAGCTGAGACGGAAGCATTTCTTGCAAGAAATAATGTTCAAATTCATTTAACGTCCTTGGACGAGGGTAGACAGAGCTCTCTCTGACTGATGCATTTCAGTACATACATTTATACCTTACACAAGGTGAACAGGAACAGACCAGATGAAGCTACTATGAGAAAAAGCAGAGAGAGCAGAACGTTAGAGATTGAACTAGCAGATTTACTAACAGATACATTTATACCTTACACAAACACATCTCCCACAGGGAGGCAAACCCACATCCTGCATAAAGATCTTTCTCATACTTCAACATTGGGTTATTCCCAAGAAAAAACACTTCAATTCACCAGGACGTAAATTTTAGCCAGATAAAAACTCAGAATAGACCTCCGTGCCCACGGCATGAAGGAGGCTGTGTGAACTCATCATTATCTTTCATAAGGGGGGCATCTACTTTCTGTCCCCCCTACCTTAAACATTACAGCATAATGACTGGTACAGGATTTCCATGAAATCTCCTATTCAGACAGGCACACTCAAAACATTTTATTTCATAAAATAGGCCAAGGCAAAAGATAATTCCACAAGGCCCTAACACACCCAGCACTGATTTTTAGGTATTTTATTTATGCTTTAAAGCCCTCCGATTATATAAACCACTAAAAGTCATTGTACATGTTGTATAAGAGGGGTCTTCTCAAATTCTGTTTTTTTATGGTATTCTAACCAGGCAGAGTTTCTAAAAAAGATTAGTCTGTATCAAGTTCATTTAATGTTTAAAATGGTTTGATACAAGGCAGCATTTTGTCTCCATTTGTATTCAGTTTATACATGAAGGATTTGTCAATGGTTGAAATGACCATGGTAAAGGCTGCAGCGTTGGTAACAGAATTATCACTATGTATGTAGATGATATAGTGATCATTTGTCCATATATTACTGGATTACTGATTTAAATTTACATTCTAGGATTAGCACTGCTGCGATGGACTGGCGACCTGTCCAGGGTGGACCTCACCTCTTGCCCGTAGACAGCTGAAGATAGACACCAGCACCCCTCACAACCCCACTAGGGATTAAGCGTGTCAGAAAGGATGGATGGATGGATGGATGGATGGATGGATGGATGGATGGATGGATGGATGGATGGATGGATGGATGGATGGATGGATGGATGTATGGAGCAGAGAGGAGTCCAGCCTGTCTGGCAACAAGCTAAATATCATTAATGAATGTAGGTTTTGGTGTGACTGCAGACCTATCAGATCAGAAGGACGTTTATAGACAAAACCAGGCTGATATTGTGATCAACAGTTTTGGAAAACATGTTAGGATAAAATTCTTTAAGACTTCCTGCAATGCAACATAGCTGCAGTTTGAAAAGACTGAATGCAGATATAATGATCAGTGCAGATACTGCAGCATCCCATGATGGAATAGTGCCAGCAGAGTGTTCACAGGCGTAAGTCTGGCTTCTTACTCTGGCTTCTTAATCTGCAAACAGCATCACCGTTGCCCTGACCAACACTGGACTCTGGACAGGCACACTCAAAACATTTTATTTCATAAAAAAGGCCAAGGCAAAAGATAATTCCACAAGGCCCTAACACACCCAGGGTTGGTGTCAACAGTCTCTCTATGACCTCCAGTCCACCAGTGGCATTAGCTCTAAAGTCATCACCTCCTTCTCATTTCCACTCCTTTAAAAAGTAAACAAAGTTTTGCCTAAATCTTCCCATCGTAATTATTAGAATAACTATTTATCCTACAAACAGATCTTTTCCTCAACAACAGTTTTTACTTATTAGAAATTGGTTTCTGTTGCCTCATAAAGGAAGAGGGTGGGTTTAACTTTGTACGTACGACAATCAGTGAAGATCAGTCCAGACCCTGAAAGCCACAATGAAGGAAGCATCTGTCATAGTTCTGCTCGGTAAGTACACTCTTTCAAATGTACAGTTGGTGTTTTTACTGTGTGAGAAAAGCTGTGAAACAAACTGCAGGAAGGTTAAATACGCACCAAGTGTATAGCAGGTCTGAGCAGGAACTGATAGAGTTCCCAGAAATGCAAAAACTGAAGCAGAAGAAGAAAATCTTATTACAGTTTAATAAGACTTATTACAGTTTGTAGGAACTTTTTCTGCCTGATTTGTTGCTAAACTCAATACGTTTGCAATAAAGTTGCTGAATTCTGTAAACACTGCATAACAGGTCAGACACGTATGAACAGTGTTGTTAACTTTGTTGACTTTAGGGAACTGTTAAAATGTTTAGGCGTCATTTAAACTTTAACAGAGAGACAGACGAACGGAGGAGGAAACATCTTGTCACATCTGCTTTGTTGTAGCTCTAGTTTTTTGCTCTGCATCCATACAGTAAAGAAACAGGCAAAAGCTTCTGTAATTTTATTTTAAACATTATTCTTTATGGATACACAAATATAATGCATTCTCATTTACAAGTACAACATTAATGCCTGGATATTTTCTCCATTTGACTGTCTTCATTCCCACGTTCCCGTCCCTCAGATCCACTAAACAGGTTTATTTGCTTCCTAGATGTTGCAGGAAGCTCAGAGGATTTTCCTAAACTGTAGAATAACCCTACTGACTGTAAAGCCTGCCTCACTGCCTGCTTTAAAACATATAGTAACCTGCTAGCTCTCTACATCAATGAGGTCACACTATGACCTCATTTATTCTTCTTCTGATGCATTTCCTCTGTTATTTTCACATAAAGTTTGTATCGTATCACTCATTTTCTCTCTGTCATAGGACATTAAAAATAGAATGTATACATAGATAATAGAAAAAAGAGAATTTATAGATATATAGATATTATAAACATTTTCATAATGGGACCAAAAGAAAAGTCAAATCAGTTAAATGGACTGATAACAATTCCAGATACGATTCAGCAACAACTGCTGGACTCATTGGGCTAAAAGCAAACCACCACACAGCTTTGAAACATGGAGGTAAACAGAAGGAAAAGGAAAACTTTAGAATTAGATATATTTGATTGATTGATTGATTGATTGATTGATTAATTGACTTTAGTGATCTCAAAGTGTAGAAATTTGTCATTACATCAGCTCAAATAGTTAAAGGAGAATAATGTGCCAAAGGAGGACAAAGGTGCATGGGATATACAGTATGTACAGTGCGTCCATCTATGACAGCGCTGTTTTTATTATGGTAGGATTATTACAGCATTTATTACAGATTTTTTTTACTAAACAGGCCTTGCAGTTATAAAAGTCTTCATGGGAAAAGAACCAGTCTTAGTAGACTGGCATCCTCCTCTGTGGTCTCAGATTTTCCCTCAACTCTCGTCACCAGGCCTCGCCACTGCGCCGGATCGTCTCTCAATGGCCAAGGCGGGGTTATTTATGTAGCACGTTTCAATGGAAAGACAATCAACGTGCTGTTCATAGAATAGAATACAATAGAATTGAATAGAATAGTACTTTATTGTTGTCCCGCAATGGAGAAATTCACTTGTGACATTGGCTGTTATAAACAACAGGAGGTGCACAAAGAAAGAAAAAATGCATGAAGTAAATACAGTACATCCAGAAATATACAGTGGATGTTCCAAAAAGTAAAAAATACAATCCAGTGGACTTTTTTTCCAAGTTTGAAGTTTTGCTTCCCATCCAGGAAGCTTTTTCAATTAAAATGTCAGAATTAGAGTTAAGTTCCAGGCCACTTAAAAAATTGTTTTGGTTTAGAGAAAATGCAAATTGAACCAGAGGAACGGGTCCAGTGGATTGTTGTTGTTTTTTTACATTTTTGGAATGACTATGACCTGGATGACTGAGAACCGTCACCAGCATATTCAGTGGATTGGGGAAAAAAAATGAGAGATTTGAAGTGACTTGCGCACTTTCATCTGGTTTGGTCTGCCACAGTTTCCGTAGGCTCGTGAACTCGCAGGCGCGCGCTTTTAGGAAATCATATACACTACTGTTTATGCTCTAAAAACATTCTAAATGACTTCGTTTCGAGTAAATTATGGACGCTACCCACTCAGGACACTTGGAATACATTGGACGAGCAGTATGGAGGAATATTGACACGTTTTTTGTGGACTTTTATGGACCTTTCTGCCTCGGGCACCATAGACCTCCATTATTTGAATGTCAGCAGACAGCAAGAAGCCTCCCAGATCTCCAGATGCATTTGAGATATCAAAAAAGTACTCCAGAGTGTTGTTCAGCATGGGGGTGAGTAGAAAATGAAGGCTAATCATGTTTTGGGTGTACTATTCCTTTAAAATGCTGTAGGCCTAAAAAAGACAAAAGGTGGGCCTGACCCCCTCCAACTGGATAGACCATGGAGGTCACCTGGGGAGTGATCAATGGTAATTAGACGTCATCAGAATGCCTCAGACACGAGCAGAAACTATTTCCACCACCAAGAGATGGAAGATGAGAGACCAGGGACACATCAGGACGGCCTGAAGATCGGTGGTTTTCCCAGATGGGCTTTTCTAAAAACCAACTATGAGAAGAAGGAACATTGTTATTCCATACTGAAGATTCAAAAAAAACTTTTACCCAGCCCCGAGTGACACTCCAGTAGGGTGAAATTTCAGTTTTGGTACGGTACATCCAAAAAAAAAAACCTGAAAAAATAAGAAAAACACAAAGGGATCACAATAGGCGAGGGCAGGAAAAAAATCCTATATCATAATCTATCCTTAGTAGGATACAGTTTAAGATTGCAAGGATATACAGGGAGGGAGTTGGAGACAGAGAAAGAGCAGGCTCCTCCTGCGAGAGCCAAAAAAGAAAATATGTTGCTTAAGTCTCTGAAAAACTCAGGAGGATTTTCAACCAGAACCGGATCCCTGTGCACTTCACACCAGAAACACCCTGAGACAAAAACAGGTTCACCCCAAAGACAAGAAACCCAGAACCAAGACCGACAGAATGCTTTATGCCATTCAACAAGCAACCGCTACACAGGCGCATGGCTCAACACAAGGGGGCCAACCCCTCAGGAGAGGACTCACCAGGTCACCTACACCTGAAGGCTAAAGGACACCGAGGACAAGAACGTCCATATTCTGGCCAAGGAAGACAGATGGTTTGAGAGAGCGGTTAAGAAAGCCATTTTCGTTAACCTGGAAAAAAACATCTCTCACAGACGAGTTGGTCTTAGATACACCCTTTGACCTACATACTAAGCACATTTAGGAACAATACCCAGAGGATTCACCTCCCACCCGTCCACACATGACTCAGACTTCAATGAGGCATCTGACCAAAACCACTCTGACGAGGGAGGTAATGACCCATTAGAACCCCTAAAAGACCAGTAACACCCCCCAACCTCCATGTAACCACCTTGGCCAATCCAGTGGGAGGTATCAAAGCCACCTTTTTTTTCTCCTTAATTCTTTGTTCCACCTCTAGTATATTCATCTCAGTGCTCCTCACCACTAGTTAGAACTGAAGAAACCCCTCGGATGAGATGTGAAACGTCTTCTTGAAAACCTAACGTACAGATGCCTGACCTGAACGAGCCATAGCATCAGTGTTAGTTTTTTACTTCTACCATTCTCTTATGCCATTAGTGAAAACCAGCAGGTTAGATGAAGGTAGCGTCTCCTACTCAAAACAAAATAACACGCAATAGCAAAAAAATAAATAAAAATCCCACAGACTGACTTAAAATGCACCACAATAAGTCCAAAAGATCAAACTAAATACAGGACAAGTACTAAATCATGCAAAATGTAAAGGCAACATTCACAGACTTATATTATGGAGATTTCTTATTTGCAGAAGGACTTTTAAATTGAATGTTCTCTGAACTGCAAAACCATTTAAACCATTAAAATTATGTTTTTGTTTTTCCTCTTTAGTGCTGACTTTAATGACCTGCTGCACAACAAGCAAAGGTTGGTTAAATTGAGATCATCATGACTTTATACACTGAAATTAGCATTAATATAGCACTAATATAAACCATTTGCTTTCTCCAGCAGGTAGTGACAAAATAATCAAAAAATAATATTTCATGAATGAAAACATGTAGATCACAGCATTAGTGGTCTTTAATGTTTTTTGATAGTTATTTTGATATTGTTTGAAGCAAGTGTCAGATAAGATGAAAGATGTGTTTACAGAGAACTTAGAGCTTTGATTAAAAAAGAAAAAACTGATCTGTTTTTCATTCCAGCAGCTGCTCTGACTGTGAGTCCCAGCAGATCTCAATTTTTTCCTAGAGAATCTGTGTCTCTGAGCTGTGAGGAGAACAACAGCTCTGCTGGATGGACTGTATGGAGGAACACAACCAGAGAAACCAGGACTCAGTGTGGAGATGGATGGGGGGAACCAGCTGGATCTACCTGTAAGATCAGCTACCTTTTCCTAATAGACAGTGGAGTTTACTGGTGTTGGTCGTCCAGAGAGGGAGCAGCCAGCAGTAGCATCCAGCTCACTGTCACTGGTAAGATCAGACTGTGGAGTTAGTGTTGATGAAGCTGTGTGGAAATGGATGAAATGCTGTAGTTTGTCTCTGTGTTGAGGTGGATCAGTGATCCTGCAGAGTCCTGTTCTCCCTGTGATGGAGGGAGATGACGTCACTCTGAGCTGTCTAACAAAGACCACTCCCTCCAACCTCCCAGCTGCTTTCTATAAAGATGGCTCCCTCATCAGGACTGAGCCCAAAGGTCACATGACCCTCCACCATGTGACCAGCTCTGATGAAGGCCTCTACAGGTGTAACATCAGTGGTCATGGAGAGTCTCCATCCAGCTGGATCTCTGTTGAAGGTCAGCAGCTTCTCTCTCTGCTTCAACCTTCATTATGAGACAAGAACTAAATAATTACCTCTGGATAATTCCAGGGAAACCAACTACTCTACATTCACCCAGGTCTTCCCCACCTTCATCCACCTCTCCTTCTGACCAGTCTTTCCTCCACATCATAGTAGTTGCTGCCATATTTATCTTTTTGGGTTTACTCTTGCTTCTCCTGTTTTTGCTGCTTAGACATCATATTTGCAGGAAATCTCAAGGTGAGGCAACAATATTACTGTATTATTTTAACATGTTCTGCTTATTTAAAAACTGAATCATCTTAAAGTTTTATCTGCCTTCTAGCTGAAGAAGTGAAAGAAGGAGAAAAAGACATAACATACAGTGATCTGAAAATCCTCACCAGCCAGCAGCAGCCAATCAGAAGGAGGAGAGGTAACGTTTTATTGAGATTACAAGTTAATAAATAAGAAATGCTGTTATAAACGTTATTATGCTGTTATTAACATTATTATATAATATAACATTAAATAGCCTAATACCTCAGTAATATCAAATAAAAAGTGAGGTAAAAATACAGCCTATTTAATTATTTACTTATTTCTTAAATTTTTTACTTCAACATTTATTTATTATCATTGTATTTCAATACATATTTATTTGTATAATATTTTAAAAGTATATTATGATATTATGATTTATTTAATTACTGTGTTTTTATTAGGTGACACTTAGTTAATTTATTTAGTAAATTAACTAAGTTATCTGGAACTTTTATTTTTTCCCCCAGTATTATTACACTTATGGGTCGTTATATTTTATATCCCATTAGTCAAAAGCAGTAGCAGAGTTTTTTGCATGAGGCGGGTAAGGTGAAAACTTTGTGGAGTGAAGATTTCATTTAGTCCATGGAAACTACACAATGTGCTAACATGCTACACAACACTAAGATAGCATTTTTTTATGTGATTGATTTGCTTTGACTCTGCAACCATCACACAGCATAGAAATAAGCATGTAGACTCTCAACAAACCTTAGTCACCAGCACCAAAAGCCCGCTAAATGCCTCTAATTACAAGCAGAGGAATTAGCCGTCATGCTCAATCCAGCTACAGTTTATTCTACAAAGCCCTGTTAGCTGTTTAGAAAGTCTTATCATGATAGTTCATTGGTCTCCAAACTTTGACCAAACTGTCACTGTCATACACCAGCGGCCATCATAGGTGCAGTGAACCTTCCCATGGCTTTCCAGTCATGCAATCGCCACTGTTGTGTTGGTCTTAAATAAATCATTCAATGAGCGAGTGTTTTTTACAATTCACTGAATGTAATCACTATCATAAAACTCTGCCTAGGAGTTACTTGTAAAGTAGTGCTAACAGGAAATAATACAGATTCACCCATTCTGATACTGTTAGAATCAGTATGTGATTCCTATAGGGTGAAGATTCACTCAATCATCTACTTCACAGAAATCAGGCTATGATTTTTTTGCTTTTTTGCTGATTTCTTCAGTCACCAAGTGTACAAATCAGGCACTGATTTATGCAGTTCGTGAATCAAACTGGGATTGGCACTGTGTCATTTGCCAACATAATATATTAATTAACTAAGATAGGATGGATGCGATCAGAAATGGATGATAGAGTGAGTTATGTCATCACTCTTGTCAGACATAATATTGGATATAAGTAATATAATTCAATTCAGTTTATTTATAAATCACCAACACATGTCATCTCAAGGCTCAGAAACAGTTCAGGGAGATCAAGAAAACAGATAAGTAGAACATTTACTAAGGAAACTCAGCTGATTGGGCAGAGTCACTGGAACTACAGTTGTCACTGATTTGTTTGTCTAAAAGTAATGATAGAGTTGTATTTTTTGATTTTTTTTTTTATCGAAGCTGACTGAATACTAAAATTGCAGTCTTAAGAATTTGAACTATGAAAGAAAAGCTAAATCATCAAAGCTAACCCGGTGTGATGGTGTCACCAGATACGCAGCTGCAGGGGGGAGAGAGGGCACACAGCTTTGCAGCAAGGGGTTAGATCATCTTTTTTTTGCAATTTGGAAAGGAGCCAACTGCTGATTGTTAGCATGTCGACCCATGTTTGAAAGATATGCATTAAGCCCATATTTTCAATGGTAAAAGGCCTAATTAAAGTCAGGCCAGCTGACAGCTTTGCTAGGGCCTGGGACAACACAGTCTTTTTGGGTAAAGCTCTAAAGCAGAAAGTAGACATGGCCTGCAGCTTCCCAAATGGTCAGACATGGCACGGAGCTTCATTCAAGGTCAGGCATGACCCGCCGGTGCCCAAAGGGCGAGACATGTCCGCAGCTGCCCACAGCCAATATTGCCCGCAGTTGCCCAGATGGTCAGATGTGGTTGACAGCTTCCCAGAGGGTCAGACATGGCCCGCTGCTACCCAGAGCGTCAGACATAGCCCGCAGCTGCCCAGATGGGCAGACATGGTTTACAGCTACCCAGAGAGTTAGACAATGCCCAAAGCTACCCAGAGTGTCAAACATGGCCCACAGCTACTAAGAGGGTCAGACATTTCCTGCAGCTACCCAGAGGGTCAGAAATTGCCCAGAGCTACCCAGAGGGTCAGACATTGCCCGCAGCTACCCAGAGGGTAAGACATGGTCCGCAACTACCCAGAGGGTCAGACATTGCCCGCAGCTACCCAGAGGGTAAGACATGGTCCGC